GCGCTCGACTCATTCTACACGTGGTATCAGAGCCTGGTTCCGACGAAAGAGGCTTAATCACCTTCGGAGGAAATGAGCTCAAGCGCAAACGGCGGAGCGATCTTTATGGCGGACGGATTTTCCCAAACAAGACCGCCGAGATTCGAAGGAGTGCACTATGGGTACTGGCGCAATCGAATGGAACTCTTCATCGGCTCCACCGACCCAGATCTTTGGGATATTATCCTCGACGGTCCACTGGAGGTCAAGGGAGTTCGAGGAAACTGGTCAGACACAGACAAAAGAAACTATCAAATGAATTCCAAGGCCACCAATCTGCTATACTGCATTGGGACCAGAGGAGTATCATCGAGTCACTGGATGCAAATCTGCTAAGGAGATCTGGGACAAACTCCAGATAGCTCATGAAGGTACAACCCATGTGAAGATTTCAAGAATAAACAGTTTGAAGCAGGAATTCGAGTCATTTGTCATGAAGCCTGAAGAGTCAGTCAGAGATATGAATGAAAGATTTACAACGATTGTCAACAGTCTGATGAACTTGGGAATCATGTACGAAAGCAGTGATTTGGTTAGAAAAGTATTATGGGCACTACCAAAGAAATGGACGCCAAAAGTTACTGCTATTGAGGAATCAAAGGACCTCACTAAACTCAGTCTTGATGAGCTCATGGGATCCCTAATAACCCATGAGGAAAAGCTGAAGAAAGAAGAAGCAGAAGAGCCAAGGAAGGAACGAAGGAGCATCGCATTCAAAACAACAGCTCAGGAAGATGGTTTCGACAGTCTTGATGAGATGGAGGACGAAGAGTTAGCTATGCTAAGCAAGCATGTAGCCAAGCTACTAAGGTTGAGGAAAGAAAAGAGAAGAGGAGGGCTGGTGAATCGATTCAGAGAAGGAGATGAACAAATCAAACCAAATCGATCACTGTCAAAGCCAAGAAGAGAAGGAGCTACATCAGATAAGCAATCGTCCCAGGCTGGATGCTTCAAGTGTGGAAGGATAGGCCACATAAAGGCTGAATGCCCAATGATAAAAAGGGAGAAGGCATACACTGCAACCTGGAGCTGCAGCGAAGAAGAAGAAGACGACGATGAAGCAAAACAAACTGCTTACATGGCTCTGGAAATGAGTGATGACGACTCCAAATCACCTCAGGTAAGTCATCTTGACTACTACTCTGATAATTATAGCGAATCTGAAGAGATGATTGATACAATTAAAAACATTCAAGAAGAATTTGAAAATGTTAGAATTAAACATGCCAAACTGAAAACTGAATTTCTACACATAAATGATGAATGTGATAGACTGAAAGGAGAAAAACTGAATGTTGAATGTCAACTTAAAAAATGTCTGGTTGAAAATGAAGCTTTGAAAGCCGAACTTCTAGCTCTAAAAGATGTACCAGACACTAAAAACTGTAAGGGTTGTAAGAAGAGTACTTCTAGTCTTACTAATCAGACTATTAGCAATTCGATCATTAATCAGGGCACTAAGAGAAGAAAGTCAACAAAGACTGAATGTTTTTACTGTCATCAGAATGGTCATTATATTGCTAATTGCCGAAAAAGAATTGCAAAAGAGAACAAAAAATGTCATAACTGTGGGCATTCAGGACACTTAAAGAAATACTGTAACACAAAACTAAAGATAACCAAACAGGTTTGGACACCCAAGATCAAATAAAACCATGATTATGCAGGCCTGTCTCCAAGTGAGCATGGATGACAGTGAATGGATCCTGGACAGTGGCTGCTCACATCACATGACAGGTATACAAGAATTATTTTCAAAACTTATCCTAGGAAAGAAAGGGAGAGTCTATTTTGGTGATAACTACAGCACAAACATTTTAGGAAAGGGTCAAGTAGGATCAAATCCATCAATTAAGAATGTCATGTTAGTTGAAGGTCTTAAACATAATTTGTTGTCCATAAGTCAAATGTGTGGAACTGAGAATCGTGTAGTGTTTGAACCAAATGCATGCTATGTCGAAAATATTGCAAGTAAACAAATTCTGTTCACTGGAAAAAGAAAAGGCAAACTGTTTGTTATTGACTTGAATGATAAATCGTTGTTCAATGAAACTTGCTTAGTGACAGTGGATAAAAATGAGCAAATGGAATGGCATAGAAGACTAGGGCATATAAGTGTAGGAATCCTATCTAGATTAGCAAACTTAGAACTAGCTAAAGGTATTCCCAAAGTTCACAGCAAAAAGGAATTCTTCTGTTCTGCCTGTGCAAAAGGCAAACATACCAGATCTTCCTTCAAAAGCAAGTCTGTGATTTCAACTAAGAGACCACTAGAACTGTTGCACATGGATTTGTTTGGTCCCACCAACATAAAAAGTCTTGGTGGAAAACAGTATGCTTTTGTTGTGGTAGATGACTACTCTAGGTTTACTTGGGTTCAGTTTCTTGCTTCAAAAGATGAAACATTTGAAAACTTTAAGATACTGTCTAGGAAACTTGAAAATGAAAAGGGATTTAAAATTGTCAACATCAGGAGTGATCACGGAGGAGAATTTATCTCTGATAAATTCAATTGCTTCTGTGATGATAGTGGTATCTCTCATAACTTCTCAGCACCTAGAACCCCTCAGCAAAATGGAGTGGCAGAAAGAAAGAACAGAACTCTGATAGATATAGCCAGGACGATGTTAAATGATTATGGATTAGCTAAACACTTTTGGGCAGAGGCTATCAATACTGCATGTTATGTAACTAACCGAGCATTAATCCGTTCCAAACTGAATAAAACTCCATATGAACTGTGGAAAGATAGAAAACCTAACCTGGAATACTTCCATCCATTCGGATGCAAGTGTTTTGTGTTGAATACCAAGGATAATCTTGGTAAATTTGATGCAAAATCAGATGAGGCAATATTCTTAGGATACTCTTCACATAGCAGAGCCTATAGGATATTTAACAAAAGGACCCTCAAGGTTGAGGAGTCCATAAATGTTATTTTTGATGAGTCTTCAAGTGAGTGTGCAGATAGTTTAGATGAAATAGAGGACTTTGGACTTGGAAGATCATTCTCAGAAGAAAATCACAAGGAGACTGTAGCTAATGATCACAACACAGAGGAAGAGCTAAATAAGGAAACGAGAGAAGAAGAGCGACAAGCTCCACCTCACATAAGGAAGCGTCACCCTCCTTCTCAGATCATTGGCAACATAGAACAAGGTATTACCACTCGATCCAAATCTTCTGATGGTCATACTGCATTCGTATCACTCATTGAACCTAAAAATGTTAAGGAAGCCTTAGAGGATGAATACTGGAATGCCTCAATGCATGATGAAATGAACCAATTTAAAAGAAACAATGTATGGGAATTAGTACCTAAACCAGAGAATCGAGTCATCATTGGAACTAAATGGATCTACAGAAATAAGTCAGATGAAATAGGGAAAATTGTTAGAAATAAGTCAAGACTAGTGGCACAAGGTTATAATCAGGAAGAAGGGATAGACTTTGAGGAAACGTTTGCTCCAGTGGCAAGATTAGAAGCTATAAGGCTATTGTGTGCTTTTGCTGCTTCTAAAGGTTTTAAACTATATCAAATGGATGTAAAAAGTGCATTTTTAAATGGTGATATAAAAGAAGAAGTCTATGTGTCACAGCCACCTGGGTTTGAAGATTATGAATTTCCTAATCATGTCTACAAGCTAAACAAAGCTCTGTATGGGCTCAAACAAGCCCCTAGAGCTTGGTATGAAAAACTGAGTCAATTCTTGCTAGACAAAGGATTTCATAGAGGAGCAGTTGACAAAACATTGTTTATCAAAAATGAAAACTCTCATACATTGCTTGTTCAAGTTTATGTAGACGATATCATTTTTGGTTCCACTAACACTGCTCTATGTAAAGAATTTGAACATGATATGAAAAGTGCTTTTGAAATGAGTCTTATGGGTGAACTAAACTATTTCTTAGGATTGCAGGTTAAACAGACTAAGCTAGGTACCTTCATAAGTCAGACCAAATATCTCCTCAACATGCTAAAAAAATTCAAACTTGATAATCTTAAATCTGCCTTAACCCCTATGGGCTCAACAACAAAGTTAACCTCAGATGAATCTGGAATACCTGTGGATGAAAGAATGTATCGTGGGATGATAGGGTCTTTGCTTTATTTGACTGCCAGTAGACCAGATATAATGTACAGTGTCTGTGTCTGTGCAAGGTTTCAAGGAAATCCTAAAATGAGTCACTTGACAGCAGTTAAGAGAATTTTTCGATATCTAAGTGGCACTTCACACTTAGGGTTATGGTATTCATGTGAGTCTAGTTTAGAACTCCTGAGTTACAGTGATTCAGACTATGCTGGATGCACTGTGGATAGAAAAAGTACCTCAGGTACTTGTCATTTTCTAGGAACCTCCTTGATATCTTGGGCCAGTAAGAAACAGAGTACAGTAGCATTATCTACTGCTGAGGCAGAGTATGTTGCTGCTGGACTCAGTTGCACTCAAATCCTATGGTTGAAATACCAGCTGCAAGACTATGGTCTTGAGGTTGGTACTCTACCTATTCTGTGTGATAACACGAGTGCTATTAACATGACCAAAAATCCAATCCAACACTCTCGAACTAAACATATCGAAGTCCGTTATCACTTTATTCGTGATTTAGTTCAAGAAGGAAAGATAAATCTTGAATTTATTAGCACTGATATGCAGTGGGCTGATATATTCACCAAACCTCTTGGGGCAGACAAATTTCTTCCCATCTGTCGTGAACTTGGCTTATTCCCAATTCACGAGATTGATTCTCTATGATTCTGTGGATAAAGACCTTCCTTACTTACTTCCTCATTGATTGCTTGATTTCAATCAAACATTCATTGCATCCTGCCTTTCTTATTCCTCTTCCCGAACCTTCCTAGGGTTAGCATCTTCTATATATCATCCTCTCCATAGGATCCGTCCATCATTCATCCAACTAATTCCCTCGCACTTCCCTCCCTTAGCACCTCACCAAAAATGGCCTTCAACAATGCTCAATTGCATCCAGCTGCAGTGTTTAGCAACAAAGGGTTTAGCAGCCCTGCTGCCTATTCTCGATATCTTCGCAGATTTCGAGATCGTCCCATTCAACCCTCCTTCTCCATTCAGCCCTCGGGTTTCACCAAATATGACCTGAATGTGTCCTCTCTCATTGATAACTTGGGCTGGGGATCACTGACTGAGGACATGCGATTCAGTTTCTGTCCAGAAGTAGTTCGCTTGTTCTATGTGAATCTTGTTCCAGGTCCTGGATGTGATCCTGCCTTCTTCACAACAACTGTGTTCAACTATGATATCACAGTCACTCCTGCTTTGTTAGCGAATCTCCTCGATCTACCTCACACTGGGCTTAGAGCAGGCACTGATGGTGAATTCATCTCTCGTGGATTTAGATTTGATATCGTTCTGGATCGGTATACGCGTGATATAGGCGATTTCTATCCTTCTCCCCTTGCAGCTGGTCGTCTCCCTGATGATTTGAAAGTGCTCCACTTCTTCATCACCAGGCTTTTCTTGCCTCGTGATCTCTCTGCTTCTGATATTCTTCACTCAGCTGACTTATGGATCTTGTCCAATGCTAAAGAAGGACGTCTCATCAGCTATGCCTCACTCATGTTCTCCCACCTCATTAAGTTTGGTATTGAGTACTACAGTGGTCCCCTACCCTTTGGACCCCAGATCACCAACCTTCTGCACAAAGTGGGCATTGATCTGCGTGACAAGGTCATGCGATGCAATGTGCTTGATGATCTTAGACCCCAGCATGTTCTAGCCAAGCTCAATGCTGAAGTTGGTCCCCGTAAGCCTATCATTGGCTCAGGGGGAGTCATAACAAGTCCTGCAGCCTATGCCTCTGGAAAATTTGTTGATTCTCTTGTTGATGCAGCTGTCACGGTTATTAAACAAGGAGCGACAGGTTCAGGCAAGCAGTCTACTGCCTTGAAACGACTGAGAGAGCAAGATCTAATGTGGCCCAAATTTGTGTATGAGGCAGGAGCAGTGAATGACTCATTCAGCTCTGACTCAGAGTCAGAAGAGTCAGAGGAAGGGGATAGAATCTCTGAGTACGAATCTCCTCCAGAATATCCCTTCTAAGGATCATAGGGAAGCATCTCAGGGGGAGTATCTTGAATTTATTTGTTGATGAAGTCAAGTCTGTAGGAATAGCCGGAATAAGTGTGTAGACCTGAAGCAGGTCAAGTTAAGTTGTCAGAATGGTGTCATCCTTTGCTTGTGCTCCCTTGTTTGAATAATTAATAATAGGACTTTAGTTCATCCTGCGGCTATTCAATCTTGCTTTTTAGATTATCTCGAATGGAACAGGCTGCACCAATCTGTGTGTTAGTATGTGCAGGTAATCAGGTGAGCCAATGACAAGCTTAGGGGGAGTTTGTTGATGGAAGCTCAGTCATTGGCATCGAGATTTCAAGCAAAGCAAGAAAGGCAAGTGACCGTGGGGAAACTATTTCATCAAGGAAGAAAAGGAAAGAACAGATACAGCAATCAATCAAGAAACTCAAGAATGACGAATTGATTCACCAGTAACGGTCGACTCAAGAGTGAAATAAAGACAGGTCTTCTGGGTAGAATAGATCAGTTCTTTTTCGGTGATTTTCTCAGCAAAGAAAAATAGAGATTTGTACGTGAGAAAGAAAAGGAACAGGGTTTTCAGGGTGAGAACTCGGGTATCAGAATTAAGAAGTCAGGGTAGAGTAGGTGCAGGGAGCAGACTCTACAGGGCGACTCTGATCTAGTGACAGGAGGTCACTTTGAGATTGAACACACTTCTAGTTGTAAATCAATAAACGAATAAACATAGTGAAACGTCGAAGGTCTCAAGATAGAGGTCCTTCGACCGTGGATTAGTCGGTGTTAGGTTCATTAATCACCTAACACCGGATACCACGTAAAAATTGGTGTCAGTGTCATTTTCTTTTCTTTGGTAAGATTAAGTCTGCATTCTAATTGGTTCACAGTGCGTGGTGAAGTTCTTGGTTGAGTTATTCGCAGAACAGAGCAGATCAACTCAAACAAGAAGAAGAAGAAGGTTCAGCTGCCACTCCAAAACGCAGCGTTCTAACTATCAGTCATCGGGCCAATTTCTATTGACAAAGCAAAAGTGAATCAGGCCCAAAGTGGTGTAACGGTCCATCACAAGACGGTGTCGTATAGGTAAATTCTGAAAGGAAAGTTCAATAGCCTTAAGACTCGATTTTTGCCTTGGCTTCGTATTCTTCTCACTTGATCTTGTCAAAGTCGAGATTAGGGTTTCAGGAACAAGGTAAATCGAAAGAGGAGCAAATTGCTGGTAAGGTCTCGCGCTCGACTCATTCTACAACTTATACAATATTGTGAGGCATTAGAATCTGAACGTAAACAAACGTTAGAACATGTTTATGCTTGGGAGACACCTATTGCTAGACAATTAGCTAGGAATTCTTTTATGAGGTGTATCGTGTCCCACGGCGACATATCTTGCACCATGCTTGTTAGGATGAACTGTAAAACTTTCCAGAAACTTTGTACACTTCTTAGAGATGTGGGAGGCCTTAGGTGTAGTTGGAACATTGAGATAGATGAAATGGTGGCCATCTTCCTTTACACCATAGCCCATAACGAGAAAAACCGTCAACTCCAAGTTACCTTCCGTCGTTCAGGAGAAACAATCTGTAAGGTAATCAAAACTGTTCTTAATTCAGTTTTGAAACTTCACTCTCTTTTACTTCGCAAACCCAAGCCTGTTCTCGAGGATTCTGACGATCCAAAATGGAAGCACTTCAAGGTATATGGTCTTTTACATGTGCGAATATGTTATTTCTCAACATTGTAAACTTTTGACAGTTGCTGGTTTTTTGTTTTAGAATTGCCTTGGGGCACTTGATGGAACAATAGTTAATGTACGTGCAACGAAAGAGAATCAATAAAGATATCGTACTCGAAAGGGAACTATTGGAATGAATGTCTTGGGGGTTGTTGACCAGAACATGGAGTTCATTTACTGTTTGGCAGGCTGGGAAGGGTCGGCTCATGATGGGAGAGTTTTGAGAGACGCCTTGATTAGGCCAAACGGTTTAAAGGTACCTAGAGGTAAGTTTGATTGGTTTCTTCTCTATATTGTAATTACATTATTCCTCAATTTGGTAAATTTCCAAAACTTACAGCCTGCTAATGATGACAGGTTTTTATTATCTATGTGATGCCGGTTACAGTAACTGTGAGGGGTTCTTATCTCCTTTTCGAGGTCAACGTTATCACCTAAAAGATTGGGGTGGGAGACGACCAAGAACACCTGAAGAAATGTTTAATATGAGGCATTCAACTGCAAGAAACGGCGTAGAGCAAGCATTTGGCATATTGAAGATGCGTTGGGCAATATTGAGAGATACCACCTTGTTTTCAACGAAAATGGTTACAAAAATAGTCAATGCTTGTTGTCTGCTGTATAACTTCATACGTGGAGAGGTTGGTGTTGATGTGTTTGAGAGGTTGTACGAAGATGAAGAAGATGAACCAGAAGTTGTCGATGAAGAACTCATACTCCATATCCAGCCTTCAGTAGAATGGTCAGAGTTTAGACAAAAATTGGATGCAGATCTGTGGGCTGCTAGGCCTTGGGCTACTAATTGATGGGAGGGTAGTTAGGTTCATAATACCATTTTGTGTATTTTCCCCCTTTTTGTGTATTGAACGTGTGTAAGGGGCTGGAAAGTGTTGTAAGGGTTGGTTGAACATGTAAGCTTGTGTGTAAGAACATTTATGATTTTGGAAATGACAAAACAGTGTGTAAGCTTTTGAATTTATTGTTATAAGCCTGCCAGTGGGTGTATGATCATTTATTATTTCTTAACTATTGTACTGATAGTGTAGGTAGAGCTGGTTGTTGGTCGAAATTAATGTTTAGCTCTATTTAATTGGTAGTGCAGTGCTGGTTCATTGCAGGAGAAAAGGTTTGGTCAGTTTATTTTGTTCCTTCTGTTGCTTCTATTTTTATTATTTCAGTTTGTTCATTCTCGACAGCTTGTAAGCTCTTTGAAGCTTATTCTTTCTTTCCAAACTTGTTCATTTTCTGCAGACTATTCCTTTTGCAGCTTGTTCCTTCTGTTTTTGTAATTTCATTTTGTTCATTCTTTGCAGCTTGTTCTTTCTCTGCAAACTTGTTCATTTTCTGCAGATTATTCATTCGCTATCAACTTGATTGTTATGTGTATATTGATCCTCTTGGTTTACCTTGTTGGTTTTCATGTTACGTTGCAGGTTTAGCATACTAAACAGCTAAGAGATGGCAGCTAATCAGGGTGTTGATGATGAGGTTAATGGTGCTGGGCTGGGGAGGCAAAGGGAGTACAAATCATGGACGGACCACCATGATGTAGTCTTCATCGAATGCTTGCTCGACCTTGTTCAATCAAAGGAGGTTGAATCAGGGAACTTGAAGAATGGTGGATTCAAGAAACTTGATGCTATGATGGCGAAGAGGATTCCAGGTTTCAACTTGAATGTCAAGTCAAGGCACCGCTGGTTCAAGAACAAATATAATGCCATATATGATGTACAGAATGGGAGCTGCAGTGGTTTTGGCTGGGATGAGTCCAAGAAACTTATTATTGCTGATGATGATGTTTTCAAGGAGTGGGTTAAGGTACCAGTTCGTTCCTTTTCATTACAACAAACTTGAAGTAATCATAATTATTTCTTGCTCCACTTATACTTATGTTGTTATATACTAATGTTGATGAAATGGTTGCCATTGTAGACTCATTCCCACTTTTCTGGCCTCAACAGCAAGTCATTTCTTTACTATGACCAGCTAGGAAGGATATTTGGAAAGGATAGAGTAGTGGGTAGTCAGGCCGGGTCAGCAGCTGATATGGAGGCTGAGGGTCGTGTTCGACGAGCATTAAGTGAGGATCCCATCATGTATGATGATGAAACTAGTCAACGTGTGCTGGAAGAGATGATAAATGAAGGCATTAACCATAGGGACTTGCTTGATGTTCCAGAATCAGGACGTGCTAAGTCACCAAAAGCAAGTGGAAGCAACAAAAGGTCGAAAACTGATAAGAAATCTTCAAGCAGTCTTGCTATAGCTACTGAAATAGAAAAAATGCTTCCTCTCATGGAGAAGACTACAATGAATATAGAAAGGATGGCAAATAGCTTTTGTCATGAAGATCCATTGATGATTAGGAGAGGTACTTTGTTTGAGGAGCTGTCTAAGGTCGAAGGTTTGTCACAAGATCAAGTGATTACAACTGCTATGGTTCTTGTGAAGGATGATAGGATTGCCCAACTCTATTACCAACTGCCTACAGATGAAGAAAAGCTTCACTTTCTGCTTCGTCTCATCAACTAATCTATCTATCCTATCTTAGACAATTAAAAGCATGATCTGTAATCACTTGATCTGGCAGCCATCCATATTTTGTAAGCTCACTTGATCTGTAGTCACATGATCTGGCATGATCTATAATCTGTAATGGCTAAGTGGAGAATGGGAGCTATCTACATTTTGTAATCACTTGTATCCAAAATGCTTTTGGGATGCACTAGAAATGAATGTTCAGGATAAGTCTTTTTAAAAGGTTTAGCCGTTCTCTACGTTCTATTTTGGCATCCATGTTCAAGCTGGTTTTTTGGTTTCTTAACACATCCTGGTTTAACAGAAAAAGAACAGCAGCAACATTTGCATTTCAACAACAAGCTTCATACATTTTTTTTTTTTGGTTGAAGCAAGCTTCATACATTACACATCTCTAACATGCATTACAAAAGACAACAACAAGTACATTGATCATACAAAAGACTGAAGCTGCAAGTGCACATGAATTACTCTCTGCAGCATTAGGCCTAACACAACAGACTCTACAAAACCCAACCTAGCTCTAATCATATCGAGTTCCTCTTTCATAGGCGTACACAGATCTTGTTCTGTGCAATTTTTATTTTCCAGCTGTAAGTTTCCCACCAGTAGTTGAGCAAGTAACTCTTGAAGTTCATTGTTCCATTTGCTAAGGGAAAAATTCTCTTCCCTAAAACGTGTGTTATCCATCTTCAAACCACTGATCAAGACTTTATACTTTTGTTTCTTCTTCTCAATTGCCACCTGTATATCTTGCCACACGAAAAAATCACAAGGATTCTCCGACTGGAAACGTAAAAGGCTCAGTTAGTTAAGCAAGCCACAAGTGAAATTTAGCGAAGCACAACATGCAAAAAGAATACAGAAGTGCACTGATAATTGATCCAAACAAAGAAATCAGATGTTTACTTCCATAAAAAAAAGAAACGAGGTGTTTACTTTGAATGCAGCAACTTTGCTAGTCGAATTGCATCTTCTTGTCCTTAAACTAGAGTAAATTTTGGCAGGAGCTGCTTTATGACAGGTGTGATCACAATGTCTGCATTTTCTTTCCCAATAAACTCTCGGTTGCATACACAATGTGGTTCATAGTAAAGAGTGGATTGTTCTTGTGGAGAAATGACAAGGTATCTGAGAAAGCAAAACATATCACATCTCAGTTATTCATTGAAGTGGCAGATATTAATTACCTGCTTCGGATTCCATTTTCGACAGCGGAAGAACTTCCGATTCGGATTACCAGGCGTATGGGATGTCCTATTGATTGCGAGATATCCACACTTGCACTTGACCAAAATCGTTACGTTCTCACCAGGATGTTGGCGGATTCGTCGGGAGCTCATTTGGCTGCAGTAAGGTCACCTTCTCCTTCTTTTTAACAATATTTTTTTCTCCTCTGAAATGGCTTATATTTTGTGCTGTAAAGGCAAACGAGAGTTGGAGGAGAAAGAGAAATCAATGAAGGGTAATTGTGACTTTGTGTGCTGAAAAGTGTTTTGTTTTTTTTATGCAAAAAGATACAATCTCAACTTCCAAACAAGGTATTCTCCAATTTCATACATTCATTCAATTCATCTAATTCAAATACATCAATTGAACAAATGCATCAATTGAGAGAATCTCAACCTCCAAACGAACCCTTACTACCCTATACTAGGGTGGTATAGTTGGGTCATATAATTTTTCTCCCATAAATTTGTAAATCACGATGAACTCATTTATTATGTGGAAAGAATTCCAAAATTTGAGTTAAGCTCAAAGGTGGTTCATAGTGTTACTAGGTTGATAACGACTAGTAATGGATCATACGATATCTTTTTCGTGAAATATATAAAACATTATATAATTTAGTAAAATACAATGAACTTGTTTCATCTATGAAAAATATATCAATTTCTATTTAAACAAAGAAAATAAAAATTCATTAAAAAATTTGAAATATTTTTTTTAAAGAGAATAATTTCACCCTTCAGTATAGGTGTCAAAACATAACTCGACCCGACGTAGCCGCCCGATCAACCGGACCCGCAGTCCGACCGCAAATCGAATTGACTAAAAGTCAACAACCCGTAACTCGTCCGACCCACAACCCGATTGACCCGTAACCCGACTAACCTGAAACCCGATTAACCCTAAACCTGATTGACCCAGAACCCGATTAAACCCTCAAGTTGATTAACCTGAACCCGACTAATCCACAACCCGACTGACTCAACCCGAACTTCACCTAATCCACTTGAATAATTATTATATTATATAATACATAGTTTTTAAAAATAAATTTTATTTTATCATTCTAATTTTAGGTAAAACTATTTTTTCATTTCGTATATGGAATTTTAAAAAATATGAAACTCACTTGATATTATGTATTTTAAGAAAATTACAAAAATTGAAACATTAAGGTCACTTTGAACACTAAGTTCTTTAACAAAATTATAAAATTAAATATGACATATAAAATCAGCACAATGTCAATATTAATAATGAAGAATTAATAATTGAGATCATGGACAATATCAATATAATATAAAATTTAAATTTTGGTTAATTTAATTATTCAATAAAGTTATCAACTAAATATAAATAAAGTAAAGTAATTTATTTGGTATTTTGATACTTTTACAGAAGACGGAAATTTTGGTGCATTCAACTTTTTGGGAAGAGAAATAAAAGGAAATTTTGGTTCTTTGAAATTTTGAGAAAAGAAAAAAGGGGGAATTTTGGTGGTTTTTATCAATGTTGTTAGAACCGGACCAGACAACAAATCAGATCAACAAGATGTTTATGGTTTATCGGATAACCGGTATAAAACCTTTTATAAAATCGTTGATGTACAAAATTTTCAAATTATGAATTTATTGTACGTCTGAAAATTAGTACTAGTTGTGAAATTGAGAATTCTATACTTGATAAAATAATTCAATAATAAAAATTTAATCCAGATGGTGGGTGGGTCGGCGGTAAAGAAAGATGGGAGAAGAAGACACTAGTCTCTAGGTTAGGGAATTGACGTTTCTCTTCCCCTTTTTGGTTTTTTTATTTTTATTTTCCCTCTTTTAGTCTAGAAAGACGTGTTTTAAATTTGAAAAGTAAAACGAAAAGCAACCAAAACCGGCGGTTCCGGGCAGTCGGTTCTGCCGGTTAATCGGCAAACCGGTTACCACACGGACGGCCATTTTCTGTATCGTTTTTGTATTGTCGGGACAGGGACTATTGCCGGGTCCGGTTTTTTATGGTCGACTTGGCCGATCCGGTCCGGTTTTAATAACAGTGGTTTTGATTTGTGAGAAGAAAAAAGTGAAAATGTTTGGTTCTTTTGATTATGAAAGAGAAATGAAGTGGGAAATTTTGAGTTTTCAACTTTTTGTGGAAGGAAGGAGTGAAGAGGAAAATTTGGTTCTTCAATTTTGTGGAAGAGAAAGAGGGGGGAAATTTGGTTCTTTCAATTTTATGGAAGAGAAAGATTAGGTTAATTGAGTGTTTCTAATTTATGGAAGGAGAATGAAGGAGGGGAATTGATGGTTTTGACGGTTCTAAGTTTTTTATTAACATATGTTCACTTGAAGTCTCTAACGATAGGAGATCCCTTTTTAATTTATGTTTATGGTACGTGGTTAGGGTAGAAGGTATATGGTGTAGAGTATAGAATATATAGTTAGGGTATAACAAATATCACTTTTTAGGTATAGGGTATGTGGTTAGTGTATAATGTATTGATGGTTTAGGGTATACGATCAACAACATATACTAACCTAATATTGTCGAGTAAGGGTAAGGCTAAATGTATAGGATATGTGTTATTGAGTAAGTTATGAATGAAGTCACAATAAGTTTACTAAATTTGATAGTTAATCTTTAATGGTTCAATTTTTAGGGTAATTCGAACAATTTTACAAATAACTCGTTTGGTAATAGATTACTGAAGTTATTTGGGAAATGATTTATTTCGAAATAACTCCTTTTACCACTCTGCTTTTGTCGAATACCATATTTGCATGGTTATACTTAGGGTCGATAATCGGTTCGGTTTGGTTATGGCTGGAACCGTTTAGTCGGTTATCGGTTAACCGTTTAGTAATTCTTGCTTACCGTTAACATGAACCGTTTAGTCGATTAACCTGAACCGTTTAGTCGATTCTCGGTTATTTTGTCGGTTAATCGTATAACCGTTAAACAAATGATTCATCAGGATAAGATCAAAATAATCATATAACATGTTTTCTATACCAAGGCTAGGAGCTCCACAGAAGCGTGTTGCTTCTACGACCTATATAAAAAATACAAAAAAAAATTCAAATTTTACCTTAGGTATCGATTGAGAGTATGATCTCTATTTGCTTCACTTCAAGTGACTGAAGCATTGGCTACAACAGTCCTTCATTACCAAAGCTGGGCAAAAAATGGTCAGCTACACGAGAAAATACGTATAAACCCTGATCAATTATGCTAACCTTGATCGATGGAGAAACAAAATGAATGGCTAAGGAAATAGCAAAGAGAGGAGAAGAGATTGTTGAGCATAGCTCAACATTAGCTAAGAACGGGGACAAGAAGCAGAGCAGCAGAGAAAAAAATACAAAAAGGAACTAAGTGTGTAGGGAAGGATTGGTGGGTGGTTTTATACCACATCGTTGGTGGAAGGAAAATTCCACACATCACACAGCTATATAAGAATTGGTAGTTTTCGTAGATCAAATAAGTCCAGAAAACATTAAAGAAGTGGTCCAAACAATGGGCTGGGAATTTTGGTGTTTTTCTGTCTCAGTGGTGGCTCTTTCCGTGGCCATTGTAAGGTATATCCTATTGGGCTCATCGTTGGACTTTGGTTAGTCGTTTTTTATCGCTTAACCGGGACCCGCCGGGTTCTGACTGATTATGGTTAGTTTAATCGACTAGCCGCTTTCGGTTGCCAATAACCAAGCCGAAATGTTCTAATTGGTTATCGAGCAGACCGACAACGGGCGGTTTCGGTTTGGTATATCAGTAAACCGGAAACCCAAAAATAGAGTATCAGTCCTAGTTATACTAAACAAGATACTTTAAATCAATTAGTACTTAAATAATACTAAAATACCAAATAAACAATTAATAGCATCTTTTGGTTGCAAATGTTGATATCACCATTACTATTAGCTAGTGTAATTTACCAATTACGATTAATTACATAACAAATTTGCAAGTCATACAAATTGATTCAATATTTTAACTAGTTTTTTTTAATTAAGTATATATACGACGAGGTAGAAAGAAATTGGTTAAAATTTGAGAAAAATATTTTAAATTAGTGTAATAAAATGTGTAAGTTGGTAACGAGTAAGAAGTAAGTTACTCGATGCGATGACCCGAACAACCCGCAACCTGATGCGCCCACAACCCGCCAGAACAAAAACTAGATGAACTGGAACCCGATTTGTCCGCAATCCGATTGAACCAGAACCCGATGAACCTGCGACCCGACTAACCCGCAACCCATTTAAACCCGAACCCGATAAACCGGAACCCAATGAGCCCGCACCCGATGAACCCGAAATCCAACTAACCCGTAACTAAATTGAACTGAGCCCGAACCGCCCGATTGCACCTGTACCTTTCATCTGCCTCTATTAAATCAAATACAGATTTGATTATGTAAAAATGGATAACAAAGTTACCTACCTTAGATATTTTTTGGTGATTTGTATAAAGGGATCCTCTTTTGTTCAAATGACATTGGACTGGGTCATGTGTGATGGTTCTATGAGATCTAACTCTCTATTGTATGTATGTAAAATGTCATGCATATCGTTTTCAGAAAGAATGGAAGCATGAAGATTCCATTCTTTTGGTAGGATTACTCGATAAGTATATGATACAAAAGTGATCATTTCCACCCGAAGTATTAGTTCTGATATTGATATGCGTTATAGTATTATGTATCAAGATTATACCTTAATTATGCATTCTAGTCAGTGGCGGAGCCCCTTATAGCAGGAGGGCTATAACCCCTCAACTCTCAAAATCGTATAAATCTACGGGGTCGTTTGGAAGTTGTGATTGTTAGCATTGTATTTGTTAAATACATGCATTGTCCACAATACAACGTTTGGAAATGTCAAGTTGCAAAACAATGCATGTATTGTTTTGTGTGGGTCCCACCAACAATCAACAAAAATGATGGATTGTACAATCTCAACTAAAAGTTGAGATTGTTGGTTTAATAATTGAGCACATTTACTTTTTCCAATTATGTCTATAGTTCTTTTTGTTTTATATTAAAAGTGGAGGACAAATATGACATTTCCTTATAAAGTAACTTTATAACAATCAATTCATAAATTATAATCTCAACAACCAAACAATGTAATTTCAAAATGCATCTATTGTATCAATGCATACATTTATATCATAGTGATTCATAACAATACAACGATTTAAGATACGCAACTTCCAAACGACCCCTACGTATAAATTTTGTAACAAACTTAGAAATAGATTAGGTTGTAAGGCTTTAACCCCCTCCCCGGCTCAAACATCTTGAACTTAAATTTTAGCCCTTTTCATTTTGATTTCTGGCTCCGCCACTCATTCTACTTAATAAGAATTTGGTCTAATGGTAATACCACTAACCTTTAACTTGTAGGAGATAAGTTCGTTCAACAAAATCTAACTATAAAATCAACCTATTCCACCCCTAAAAAAATTATGCATTCTATTCATCAACCGAGTTGTCACCGACAGATCAATGCATATTTGTCACAATGGTACTAATCTTGTATTAGGATGGTAAAGCCCCTGTGCCGTAGCCACACAAGCACA